CATAGCAACGACACGCAGCAGCTTTATTTGTACAGCGTATATAACATATAACATGCAAAATATGAAAATCAATTTGTGTATACACTAGATAATTACCCGCGCAAGCGCGGGAAATTGAATTTATACATACTTTACCATTTACAACAGAAAACTGAATATATTGTAGATGAAAGTTGTAGATTTTTCTGACAGACTACAGACTTATAGAGGGAAGAAATACTTTGTTCAAAAGTCAGCATGAAAGAAACGTATGTCACCTTTCCCACCCACTTTTTGTGAAGACTTGAAAAATTAAAAAAAATGCCTTAATTGACGTTTATTTCTTCAAAACTTCATACAATGTTATGGATATTGCACTTCAAATGTTCTTATTTCATTTTCATGAAGGATAAAAGCAACGGATAGACATATACGAATAAATTGATTTTGGGGATTTGGGGAAGGGGTATGAATTCACAGGTACTTGGGTCTTGGTTTATAAGTATATATGTACTCTTATCGATACGTAAAAAGGCTGCCCCCCTACTTTTTTCCCACCAATACTTTTACTATTGGAATGTTCAGTGAAAGGCTGGTTGCCCCCCCCCCCCCCCCTTAATACTACAGGAAATTCATATAAGGGAAATGTAGTGTTGAATACCAAAAAATTGGTTCTAAAAGAAGTTGGCATTGGAGAAAGACTTTTTTTTAGAGAGAAAAAAAAACTGAAGTGTCTTTATTAAAGCACAGAACTTTATAGCTGTAATTAATTGTATTTAAACAATAGGGCCTATTTTATTCGTAAGTTTTCTCTCTATTGAACACAATTAAGTTGAATAAAAATTGTACGTCGGGTTCGTTACCACAATGCTCTCAGTACGGAAAATTAGTTTTTTTCCGATAAACTCATAACAAACATTCTGGCTCTCAATGTGGTCCCCGTTTCACCGATGTAGAATTGGTTGCATCCTCCGCAAGTAATAAAATATATTAAATTTTTGGACTCACATGTCATGTCTGAATTAATAAGGAAATTTTTCCTTTGAAATTAAATGATGTCCCTTCTCTTAAAACAGAACAGAATTCGCGTGCATAAACAGCATATTCAAGTTCCTGAGTACCGTAAGATCAAACTCCGCGAACACATTGATAGATGCGGACAAGGACAATTTAAAGTATTCCCTTTTTATAAACTTTTTCAAGAAATTATAACAGAAAGAAGAGAAAAAGAGAAATATTTCATTCAAAAATTTAATCCCAGTCTTAATTGTTTGATTTAATTTGATTTCTGATAAAACTTTCACGCAGAGTGTAACCTTTCGATGTTCTCCGGCTAAGAGTATAAACACATGTCGGATTTGGTTTCAAAGGTGTGAACAAACTGCAAGCATTTAATTGCTTGCTGTCAGATTCAATTATAGATAATGATTTTTAAAGTATTAATAGTTTTGTAAGACATTGCAGTCAGGATAAAGAATGCATTTGTAAAACGTCTGAAGATGTAATGAAAGCGCTAACGTTTTAATCTGTTTTGCCTTTTTTATTTTAATTTTACCTATATATATATATATATATATATATATATATATATATATATATATATATATATATATATATATATATATATATATATATATATATATATAGCACTAAAAAACCAACAACACTGTATATCCTAAATGTCGGATCTACCAAGTAGATACAAGGTCACGGATGAAAATTTATATAAAGCACTAAAATGACCAACGACACGAACAATAAAAATTGTCAACTTTTCGGGACGCCCTGTCCCTTCCTCAGGACAAAGAAAAAAGTTAAAAGGTCATAAGAAGAAAGGAAAAAGAAAAACAAAAGCAACTAGCACTACTACTAAACTACTAAACACTATATATTTACAAACTTAGCTATATGTTGAATTGGAAATTTTTAAGAACACTATAGTTAAGAAAGAAATCCTGACCGCTAAGAAATACGTCCGGTCTATCGGGTATGCTCGGGTGAAGTGCGATTTACATAATTGAACGAATTAATTATGCTAATTAATTACAACAATCAGTAAATCGTACATTGTTTCGTTCTCTCAATATGGCGTAACTATACTTGATAAAGAATACACAGAGAAAAATAATACAGCAGGGATATTTTAAAATATGAATTATGATCTATTATAAATTTTGAAATAATATAGGACTTTAAAGAAATTTAAGAAATAAATCTGGACCACTATGAAATACGTCCGGTCTATCGGGTATACTCGGGTGAAGTGCGATTTACATAATTGAACGAATTAATTATGCTCATTAATTACGACAATTAGTAAATCGTACATTGTTTCATTCTCTCATAAGGTATAACTATACATGATAAAGAATAATCAAAGAAAAATATTACAGCAGGGATATTCTAAAATATGAATTATGATCTATTATAAATTTCTAAATTATTTAGGACATATTATCGGGAAAAAATAAATTAACAAAGGGGTAAGCAATTCATAGTTATGTGGGTTGTTCGAGAGTTGCTGACGCAAATTAACTGTAGAGTTAGCACTAAATTGAGAGAATAATCCTGTTTAGTATCTTCAGGAATTGGGTCTAGTTTACGTTCATTCTGGTGAAGTCATTCAGTTTGTTAATGCCATTAGGGCGGAATGACTTCAGTCTGTGCATCCAGAACTTTTCCTTGCTTTTTCTCTGAGCGTCTGTCCATCTTGAGTAATGGTCAATCACCACTACTGTCATGTCTTCCCATTTGTGACCCTCAAGGTTGAAATGTTCCCCAACAGGTTCATTGATTTTTTGGTCCTAATGGTCGAACGGTGGTTATTGACTCTTCTGCAGAGATCTCCTGTTTCACCAATATACTGTTTGGAGCAAACTTTGCAACTGATGAGATAAATGCAGTTGTCAGTATGACAGGACAAATTCCCTAGTATTTTGTAGCTGCGGCCTGTAACAGGGCTGTTAAAACTGTCCATGTCGGTGCTGTGCTTACAAAGAAGACATCTTCTGTCAGGGCAAGTTTTAAAGCCCCCGTTAGGTAATGGGTTGTCCAGTCTGGTTCTTACTACCATGTCCTTTAGGTTCCTTGGGCGTCCGTATGCAGCCAGTGGGGGTTCCTTAAAGACCTCTGCCATTCGTTTGTTTGAATGGAGAATCGGTAGGTTCTTTTGAAGGATACCGCTAAGGTTCTTAAGGACGGGATGGTATGTGGTTACCAGAGGGAACCTGCCGCTATTTTCTTTCTCCTTGTAGCGTAATAGGTTTTGCCTGTCATGTCCCGCCATCTCATCAATAGCTGTATGTACGGTGCAGGCATTGTAGCCTCTTTTGCATAAGTGGGACTTAAGAAGACCACTTTGCTCCTGATAAGGCAGGGGACGAACAGATGCGTCGAATTCTGGTGGCTAGACCCTTAGGCACTCCCTTAAAAGTGTTGGGGATGACAGCTATTGGGCATAAGATATAGGTGGGAGTCTGTGGGTTTGGTGTGGAGACTGAATTCGATTTCACCGTCAATCAGGGTAGATGTAGTATCTAGGAATATGTTTTTCGAATTAGATACGTCTACTGTAAATTTGATTGACTGATGAAAGGTGTTGGCAAACGTAAAGAATGCCTCGAGGCTCTCGCGACATTCCACCCACTTCATCTCTATATCGTCAATGAAACGCAACCAGCTATGGGGCCTAAATGGTGCTTGAAGTAACAAGTTGCGTTCCAGTCTGCCCATGAAGACATTGGCATAAGACGGTGCCATTTTCGTACACATAGCAGTGCCATTAACTTGCAGGTAATGTTCTCCATTAAACATGAAGTTGTTGAACTTGAGAACATGTTCAAGGAGCTTAGCAAAGGACTCGGTAGAAGGAACTAGTATGGATCTACTATCCCAGACTTCTCTACAGGCTTCGATACCCTCATCGTGCGGAATATTGGTGTACAAAGATGTGACGTCCATAGTCACGAGGAGGGTATGATCTGGGAGGCCAGTAGAGGGCGTCTTGTTAATGTAGTCCGTGGTGTCCTTAAGATAGGATGGCAAACTTTCTATGTGTGGACGGAGATGTAAATCAATGAATTCAGAAATTTTCTCCGTGGGGTGTCCAATTGCGCTGACTATGGGGCGACCAGGCATGCCTTCTTTGTGTATTTTAGGAAGCAGATAGAATTGTCCTGGACTACAGTCAATAGGATTTAAGGTCTCATAGACGTACCAATCTCATTTTTCTCAAACATATCGTCAAGAGTTTTGGTAATGGCGTCGGAGAATTCTTTAGTAGGGTCAGAGTCCAGTTTCTTATAGAAACGTTCGTCTGAGAGTTGTCTTTGGGCCTCCGCCAAGTAAGTCTCTTTATCCATTACTACAACTGTAGAGCCTTTGTCTGCTTTCTTAATTACAATGTCATCCCAATTTTTTAATGATTGTAAGGCAGATCTCTCCTCCTTACTCAAATTGTCGGGAGTTTTGTCTGGCATTGAAAGGAGCTTCTCTATGTCTAACTCAACGGCGTCAATATACGACTCAAGCGCGCCTCACTTGCCCGGTGTAGGTTCCCAGGCACTCTTGGGCTTATAGAGTTTGTGTTCCTCTAGGTCGTGAAAATCTGGCTTGGAAGAGTCGTATGAATTTGCTTCGAAGTCTTTTCTAGAGAAGTGCTCCTACAAACGAAGTCTCCGGAAGAATGCTCGGGTGTCCTCTCTGACTTGCTTATCGTCGACCTCATGTGGCGTGGGGCAGAAATTTAGCCCCTGTGAGAGAAGTGAGGTCTCCGATTCGGAGAGAGGAGCACTAGATGTATTGAGCACTGGGCAGACGTCAGGAGTTTGTATGGGTCCGTCCCTCGCAACTGTCTTAATGCGTTTGAAGCGTCTCGAGCGGGGTTTACGTGTTTTGTTAACTCTGACCTCTGACCAGTTGTTCCTAGACTGTGGAACACTGTCGCGGAGAAATTTCTTTTTTTTGAGTCTTGTTGACTATAATGATTTGACTATGATGATAAATTGCTATGTTCTTATCACATGAAGACAGCTGTTGTCTGGGTGATTCAACAGAATACATTACAACGTTGGTGTCCACAAAATCTCCTGGAGTGTTTCTGGATTTGTTTCAAACTAGTCCTTAAGTGGGTGTATGAGGGAGCCTGTCCTAACCTTTTCATTCCCCAAAATAACATGTTTCTGAGTAAAGTCCAAGGTGAAGCACAGCATCAGCTATTTATAAGACTGTATGGGTTGTATGAGAAGGGTTTAGAATTCCTGCTTCAGAGTCCCTCCATCAGGTCTTGTATTCTAAATGTTCTTCACGACCCCCATCTCTCCATCTGTACAGATGAACATACTCTGATTTCTGAGGTTGAATTTGATGTTGAGCTGTTTCAAGAGATACGCAGACACGACACACTTCCCACACCAAACCTAGAAACCTGTATTAGATATATACATACAATAGAACAGATGATAGATTTACCCCTCCTGACTCAGTATCAAGTCGTGATGCTACAGAGACTTACAGCGACTGTCCTTCAGAACACAGCTTTTATATTACACATGGTAGCTTACACAAAGGAAAACAAAATGAGATATAGAGCTGACAAAATCTCCTGTCACATGCTGAAATTAACAGCCAAGTTTGGTTGTATAATTGACATGATATACATAGCTATGTATTATTACAAGACGCTTAGATATACAGAGGCTTTATCTATTATAGAGATGATCAAGAACAAGTTAGCACAGCCATATGTGATGTATGACTATGTAGATAGAGCGATGTATACTGAGGCTGTAGGGGGACAGTCCTGGTCTACAAAGATGAGACAGGCTGTAGCATGGATTATCCTGCTTTACAATAAAACCCATTACATCAATGAGTTATTACCAGAACAACAATCTGCTCAACAGAAAATTAAGGGTTATACTTCATTACATGTCCCACCCCTTGTACTGTTACACATGCTAGAAATCCTGTGCTACAGACATGTAGACACAATGAGAGCACAAACAGCTCTAGATGATCTTCAGACCCTAGTTCACTATGATCAAGGACCGTATACACCTTTACATTTCAGAGACATATCATGGCAGATTCTGGGAATCTGTCAACAGGTGACAGGGAATCCCCAGGCTGCTCTATACTCATACCAACAATCTCTCAGACAAGAACCATTTAACGATATACACACAGCCACAAAAATGAGAATACAGGGAACTCGTCATTAAGATAACTAATTAAGTGAAAGAAATGATAGGAATTTGTTGAATACATCTGGTAGAATTTATAATTTTAATATTTCTTCTCTAAAATATTTTCTGAATGATCATTTAATTGATTTAAATTCACTTATCATTTTAAAATATAAGTTTAATAAACCATTGTGTACACATACATGTAGAAGAAAAACACTTCCAGAAATCTGCGTGTTATATTGTCATTTTTTCTATTCATATCCACTTAAATGTGATCTCTAATGCAACTGTTGTGTAAAGCACATTTTGAGTGGCTAATGCACTGGTGTTTGAGGCATCAACGAGAGTGAAAGTTTTTGATTATGACATCACAATAGACAGATGTAAAACATCTCACTCTCTGGTGTATTGAATATTATACAGTACAATTATGGACTCCAGTGTAAGTTGATATGTGGTTATAAGGACACAATGGCAATTGATATTGACCTCAGACACAGAAAGTGATAGGGAGCGAGCCTGCCATGAATCCTTATAACAACATATTGACAGTTCACTGAAGTCCATAATAGTTATATTATATATTTGTTATATATTACATAAATGTTAAATTTTTATACTAAAGCAAGAAAAAAATGACCTTGGACCCCCCAGGAAAACGCAAACCGCCTTGAAAAGGCGAATTTTTGTTAAATTGGTATGAAAAGTTGAAGGTTTGCAGCATTAAAAATCATCGACTACACCCCTTTCACCCAAAGATGCTTTATGCCAAAATTGGTAGAAATTGGTTGAGCGTTTGCAGAGAGGAAGCTGAAAATGTTCAAATGTTGACACACCCTGCAAAATTGGATAGCAACAGACCATCTGAGTGACTCAGGTGACCTGAAATATGCAGTAGTTTTAGCTGTAGGTGACTTAAACATGAAGCATGAAAACATTTCTCAGTAGTCTATAGTGTAAAATTAATCATACTTCGGCTAAAAGAAAAAAAAGATGGTTTTGCAATGCTTTATTGTTGTATACAATTGTTTGCGGTTTGGGAATATATTTGCCTTCACTGTGGTACTTGAAGAAAGTTTGTGTTCTTGTTTAGCCAAAAAGAAAGCCTTGTATATACAAACACTGATATAACTAGAGCCGAGCTCGTTGCAAAGCAACGAGTAGGTCTTCCGTCGGAGCTGTGGACAGGAAGTACAGACCTTGGGTCAAGATCACTGCACTTTCTTATGTGAACAACCTTTCTTCTCAGCACGAGCCTCCAGTGAATCTTAATTACAAAGTTATGCTTAAACATTTTTTCTCTCTCAGTGACCTGGATTTGCCAGAAAGACCTTTGATCATGGTGACATGACACAACCTCCAATCATAAGTAATCTACTAGTATGTTTAAAGTAAGAGCTTCCAGTGATTTTCACTTATTCATAGCCTGGAAAAGAACAGATTTCTTCTGTCAGTGACCTTGATTTTAACAGAATAACCATGGCTCTTTGTCAAGACTAACTCTCAATCTGAAACAACTTTTAGAAATTCATAACCCTGACAGGTGTTTTACAACTTTTCTGTCATTGACCCTGAATTTGTTAAAATGACCTTATTTAAAGTCATCTGAAAACCGGCGGACTATAAGCAATTTGAATCAAGTATGAACTTACAGTGTCTAAAACAAATATAGTCAAAATGAAAAAATGCTATTTTCTGAATCAAAATCGTAAAAAGCCTTTTTATCACAAGCAATCTCTGTATCAAGTATGGGCTTACAGATATTCTGGATTACATATAAATGAATGCAACAAAACATTAATTCTTTCTCCAGTGATCTTGAATTTCCCGTAATATTGCATTGAATAAATACAATGAAACATCCTAGGATCATTTGAAATCTTTGTATCGAGTACAAGCTTCTGGTTTCTTTATGTTATAGCCTGGCCTTCTGGGAAAAAATTTCAGGGACAGACAGACATATCACCAGTTAAACAGATCGTTTAATTCCCGTCCCATCCACACTACCCCCCCAAAATACACAATCACTTTGCAAGGGAAAGCTCTAGACATGATTTGAAAAAAAAGGTAATCTTTTTTTATATCAGGAAGCTTTCATAAATATGGTTTCTCATACTTGCCCTGAAGTTCGTAAGAATAATATTTTAAAACGACCCCTTCTTTTTTTTACTGACCGTTTTCTTCATTTTTTTCTTTTTATATCCCCCAAGGTTGCCCGCATAGCGCAGTGATTAGAGCGTCTGCTCTATAGTCGCGAGGTAAGGATCAGCTCCCTACGTCGTGGTTTCGAATCCCACTGTGGGACGTGGGGACCTGTCCTTCCGATGAGACCGTATAAAACAAGGCCCTGTGTCGCTTTAGGTGCTGGCACAAAAAAGATCCCTCCCTGCTCAAAGGCGCTTAGTGCCGATTATAAGACAATTAATGTTCAACTATGGTGCCGGTTATGATTTTAACAGTTTAAATTAGGTCATAGTGTGTAATTCCATGATAAATTTCTGATATTTAGTACATGTAGCTGCAGATTGTTATATAAGTTCTTAAATTTTCGATTCCGTACATACGATGCGGGTTTATTACTACTAACATGTTCATTGTATACTAGTAACCTGCTACTGATATTTTCAAAATCACGGAACAAAAATTAAAATGTTAGCACACTATACTAATCATTTACAGGTTTTGAATAAATTATTACACAAATTAAATTCATTGCTTTAAAATCTTGAATTATTTTTTCAACTTGACTATTCAACCTGTAATAAAAATGGGCATTGTGCAAGCACAGAAGTCACTTATGAAGTTTACAGGTGCGGAGATACTTATCGATGTTTAGTCCATTTCATTGAGTATAATTCTAAATAGATCTGCGGAAGATTTTCTTTAAAAGTTTAAAACTGAAATAGCCATGGTAAAAATCTGTGATGAAAAAAATGTGTTTGGGAAAGTTTGTGTTGAAAACAAATTTATTTGTGTGTTAAACGCACAAATTAAGCTTGTACATTTAAATCAATATTGGTTGAAGTTAAGTAACCGCAGTCCTTACGCTATGAATCGTCAAAATTAAAAGTAAAATTACACATTGAGCTAACGAACAATAAAAATTGAAGATTGATTAATGTACATATAAAATAAATACCCAAAGCGTTTTGTTATAAAGTCAAACCTAAGATATTTTAAAATACACATGTACATGTATTTGAAAGATTCGATTTACTTACAGAAAAAAATAATGTTTTCCGTAAGTTTGTAAAATTAGATTTAACATTCGACCATGCTGTGTAAATTAAAGTCAACAAGCGATGGAAGGAATGGTTGGTCGCGTAATTGTAAAAAAAAAAAAAACACAAAGCCTAGGTAGCTGATCAAATTTAAAACGAAGATAAGCCAACACATTAATCTCAAATATCCGACAATAATAATTTTCCATTAATTGTAAAATGGTTTTAATACACCAATTATTTTGCCTATGACTGCGGGGTCAATGGTTCGCCACGGTGTGTCGCTTTAGATTTTCTTGGACACGTGTAATCGTAAGATTACGCAATGGTATAAATACGCTTAGAATCTGGGTTCCAGGTGAATGTGAGAATCGCTCGGTAAATACAGGTAATTTTTGTATTATATGACTCTTTAAAAGTTCTTTTTATGAGATCCGGGAGAGTATCGTTTTCGTTCATATTGTTTGTGTTCATATTTAAACGAAGAAAAGATACTAGCTCTTGCTTTTTTCTATAACTCTTTCTCTTGGAAAGATCTTGATTAATAAAATGAAAATGAAGCCATTGAAGACTCTGTTTAAAACCTAACTTTAAAAAAACAGATATGAAACAGCGTTGTGAAATATTTATTACTTACGACAAGTTTACTTCAATTCTACGCATAAAGACTAAAGAGTTTCCTTCAATATAGCAAGATGAGAACTGTCTAGCTTTCTTTCCTATAATACGTAAGACTCGAACAAAATAATAATTTCATAGGACAGAGATAGTATTCAGGAACAATTTCATATATTAAAAAAATGAATTTAACCATTCTGTGTTTTTATTTGTATATAACTGTGTGTCGCTGGATTACCCGCCGCTTGATTCCCGGTGACCGACTAAAATTGCCCCGCGTTATCGAGGAAGGCGCGTTATATAATTGTAAACAAACAAGGTGAATGAAGAAGGCGTGCGCTGGAAGGCTGTGAATAGTATACACTTAATGTTTTATTTTCTCATTATATTGTTTGTTTTTGTGTAATAAGAAGCAATCTTAGATAATCTTTCTTCCCTTATTAGTAGACTTGGTTTATACAATTAAAAAAATGAAATAATAGAGAAAGTTGTCAGTAAATAAGCATGACAATTTGGGGGGAAAAGCACAAAACACTTGAAAAACTTTAAAGAATATTAGCATCCAATGTAGCCATGTTTTTTATTTAAAGTAAGTTTGTTTTATATAAACAACTTTTTTCAGTTATTTCCCTTAGTAAAATTTCATCCCGATAGGGGTCGCAGAAAGCAGCCGCCATTGCATCCGTGACGTTACATTGTTGTCATAAACAAACTCCGTAGCAACAACACACGGATAAAACTACGTACTGTTCAACCGTAAATATTAGCGCACAAACAACATTTAATATATGAAAAGCTTGTAAATTCTTTCGTTTACCTTAAATATGAATCAATATCAATGTAAAAACTGCAAGGATCGAATTATTTCCTCGCCAAAAGATGTCAAACCACAAGAATGGAAGGACGATATGCGGGAGTGGCCCCAAGTCGAGTATGGCGATATTTACAATTATTTAATATTGAGTAAGGCGTGTGATGGCCAAGGGATGAAAAACTACAAATCTTTGGACAGTTTCAATTATTTTAAAAGTGGTTCCGTGGGGAAAATTCTACATTTTGTTATTAACAATACAACAGTTGTTTTAAAATCTGAAGTACGCCCCTCACAAAAAGTCAATTCGGAGTTTCATAATGCATGGATTATATGTGACATGGTTGGCACGATTTTTAGTGCTGGTTGTTCGTGCATGGCATGGAACAGTAAAACGTGTAGTCATGTCGGCGCTGTGTTATGGAAAATTGAATATGCTGTGAGGTCAGGGCTAACAGGCAAATCCTGTACCGATGAACAAATGCAATGGAACAAGGACTCGACGAGAAACCTAGAACCTGGTATTCTTGAGGAGATGGATTTTAAAAAACCTAAATACAACAGTAGTGAAGTTAACAATAATGATGAAAAACCACAAAACACAAAATCAGTATTCCCCATATTTGTATCCCATCAATCTTTTAAATATTTTGTACAAAATAGTGAACTTCAGGAATTGTTCTCAGTAGAAAATTCTCTTTTAAGGTTTTCAATCCCTAATGGTACCAAATTCTGTACCCTTAAATGTCCGTCAAGTACACAATACTCTGATATTATATTAAAGCATTTTATAGTGTAAAAGGATTGCCCACGAGAAATTTTCAAAAAGTTCATTAATTAAGCAGTAGTTAATTAGCAAAGATTGCATTGAAGTCTATGGGGAAAAGCGTTTTTTCAAAATAAAAATTCAAATAATTTGAATATCAATAAATCCTGTGGTGGAAAGATGCATTGAAATATTAAAAACAAAATGATCATTGAAAACAATTTTTTTACCAGCTAAATTTTTTTTATTGATTTTTTTTATTTAATTAATTAAAAAGGGGAGATAACTCTTACCAAAATTAAAGGTCATCAATTGGGACACATCCCACTAAACATACTTATAGTAATGAATGGGAACTATGTCTAAATAAACTGAGTATTGAATGCCTACATATCTTTTATGTTTTCAATTTCATTGAATTTCTTCCTATTAGGGATTGAAGACCTTAAATACATCTGTGCAAGCTAAAGTTGATACTCTTCAATTCAAACCTTCATCTGAGCCTCATACTGAACACTCTGCAGAACTAACGTGTAAAAAGTGTTGTCAATTTTATAATAAGTTCATCAAACTTACTGATTCTCAAATCAAGTCCTTATCTTATAAAACTGTTTCACAAAGTCAATCAGAACTGTGGCATAACAGTAGAAAAATTAGAATAACAGGCAGCACTGCTCACAAGGTTCCAATCCGTGACACTACAAATAGTGATAACTTCATTAGAGAGCATTTATATCCATCCTTTAAAGGCAATAAATTCACAAGACATGGACAGATTGGTGAAAATCTTGCAAAACAACAATTGCGTTTGGCTGGAATACAAATAGAAGATTCAGGGACCATCGTTTCAGGTGAAGAGCCCTGGCTCAGTGTTTCCCCGACGGAATAATAACTGATGACGATGGCACACAATGTCTTTTAGAAGTAAAATGCCCAATACTAAAAAATGACCAGACCCTTGACAGTTTATTTACAGCTGGTAAATATGATGTTGTAAAATCATTGCAAAATGATTCTTTGTCCCTAAAGCAGAGCAGTTCACGAGGATATTATCTTCAGATACAATTGACTTTGCATGTTACACATATAGAATTGTGCAAACTTGTTATATGGACAGCTAATGAATACAAGATTGTTAATGTTCAATATAACCAACAGTTCTGTCAATCATCAATTTCAAGATTACGTTTATTTTACTTCAACAAACTTTTACCCAGAGTAGTTGATGACTTTGAATCTGGAAGATTAAAGATTAGTAGAAAATATGAAAAATTTTCAAACTGATGCAAATTAAACTTGTTTCTGAAATAAAAGTCAAATACCTTTTCATTCTGGGGTAATCATTTATTACTTAATATAATATGTAAACAATTTTTTTAAAGTTAGGTGCCACATAAAAAATCAATGTCTGAAAAAAAGAGTAAATTCAAATTGTTAGTAGATGGTTGGAGGTCAAGAAGCTTAAACAGTATTTATTGACCAACATGCAAAGACTAAATAAGTGACTTGAATGTACATAACTTCCCGTACGAAAGTTCGAGGCGGAATAGGCACGGCTTGGGCACGGCTAAGACACGGAAACCGCACGGGTTTCTAAAAAGCCGCACGGGTTCTGCATGTCCAAGACACGGACACGGCTTCCGTGTCTGAAAGTGAGGAATCCTCGCTTACAAAAACCCGTGCGGAGGCACGGAATCCGTGTCCCAGGGAGACGGTTTTTAACTCAGGCGGATTTTGCTTCAAACTATTTATTTATATCTCACAGCTTTTTACTGAGCATGCTCAATCATAACTTCCTTTATTTGAATATTAAATTGGAGGGATTCATGGTCATGTCAGCTAAGTCAGTGTGTCTTTTTGCTCTATTTAAAGGATATTTAACTAATAGATGTCAGTTGGAATTGTATTTATGTCAGTCTGGGATAATTTCTTCACTTTTGAACTAAATGCAGTAAGTGTTATCTAGAATAAATAAGTGAAGTGAATTTTTTAATTTTCTTCCTGTATTGCAATGTTGACAATGAACATGACGAAATAGTTTAGGCTTATTTGAATGACTTTAATTGGACTTTCACTAATCCTTTATAGTATATTTTTAATGTGACATCACTGTGCTATATAGAATGAAAATTTTATTTAAACTAAATTCTTTCTCAGATTGTGCAAACTTACCTACTAGACTTAAATTACAATTGAATATTGTACACTCAATTTATCATTAAAATATTAATTAAAATTAATCTTTAACAGAAAGTAAATGTACATATTCATATAAGATTTTTAACTTTTGAAATTCTAAAACTTAGAGCATAAATGTAAAGCAATGTGAAGTAAGTTTGGTTTCAGTCACCATTTTGGCATTCACAGTTACATCAGGAGATTCTCTGAAGGCCATGACCTAGATCTAGACAAATGCACAGATCCCGTGACTCCTTATATGGTATATGGCACGGCTTTTTTGGCACGGGTTTAAAAAAAACCGTGTCTCCATATATGGAAAAGGACACGGGTTTCAGACACGGGTTTACAGAATCCGTGAGTCCATATATGGAAACAAGCACGGCTTTCTGACACGGGTTTTGTAAAACCGTGTGCTCTCATTTAAATAATTCGGCCAATATCCCGTGTCGTGTCCGTGCCTCGACCACTTTTAGGCACGGCTTTCCATACATGCTTTACATAGGAGCACGGAATGCTAAAGCACGGGTTTCAGGAAACGGAATCCGTGCCTGAGCCGTGTCTAAGCCGCCCGGACTGTTTCGTACGGGTTTACATTAATGGAGTTCCAAATGTATTTTTTTTAAATGAACAAAAGAAATTTGTTACTTTTCCGTGTAAAAAAAATGGACTACGATCAAAATTGAATTAACATATTCAAATCTTGGCAAACTATTGATTGAAAATTAATTGACTTTAGATTTCTTGTCAGACATAAAACTTTTTGGACTTACTCTCATGTAAACCTCCATAATGTTATGCCAAGCACAGTATCTTTTTTAACACAAATATTTTAATAACATGAAAACATTATGTTATTATAAAGTTGTAACCTGCTGATGCAAAGATAATAATTGACATGTATAAACTGATTACACAATTTACTCATCATCATCTTTGATAAGATCAGATCTTAAGTTAACCAATGCAGCACAAACAATCAAGTATTTACTAAGTTTCTTCACCGAGGTAACTGGAACAATCTGACTCAATATGCGGAACACCTTTAATCGTCTAATAGCCCGTTCCACGTGAATCCGTACCATGGCAATTCTTCTGGTCTCTGTAACATCCTCTTCTGAAAGTTGGTCTTTACCTTTTGTAAAAGCTGGAATGTTAAGTTTTACTTTTAGAGGAAAGAGTAGGTCATCAATGGTAAATCCCCGATCAGCCATGATTTCATCCCCAGGAAGAAGGTAATTTAAAATCCCAGATTCTTCCACTATTGCTTTATCACTAGACCTTCCTCCAAAGCCCTTAGATATGAACATAATCTGACCATGTGGTGCAATACCAACCAAATACTTCCCTGTGTTGTTTGACTTGTAGTGACTATATGTTTCTCCTCTGGTCTTCAAGTTTTTTGCTCGTTGAATAAAAGTTTCTGCACAATCAATGATGACTGTAGTTTTGGGAAAGTTCTCACGAAATGACTTTGGCATGGTTGCCCTAATTGTTTCACGTGGAAGCCAAACTATTAAGTTTTTTAGTTTTGAAGCCATAAAAGAGAGTCTTTGATTAAAAATGTTGCACGCATGAGACTCTGATATACCAAATCTGTTGGCAATATCTGCAAACAGTAAATTAAGCCTTAATTTAATAAGAACTAGTAAGACTTGATCTGACACAGGCATAGTAAATGTCAGTGGATTGTTCAAACTTTCCATAACACGCAAAAGAGTTCTAAAAGTCTTCAAAGGCAGTCCTGTGTAGAGCAAGGCTAAGGAGTTAGTTGTTATGTCAGCAGCACTGAGACGTACGTGTAGAGTGCTGCAGTTTACACCTTTTTCCTCCATCTTGATGACTGTTGTTTGTGTACCTGAACTCCTAGATCCTGCAAGGAATGGTCTTGCGTATTCATGTTCACACAATGTGGGATCTGTCCACTGTGTGCCCACAGTCCTGCTCTCTGTGATGCTCGTCTGCATGGAAGAAGATGTCATGTTTGGTTCAGTCTGAATGGTGAGGGTTTCCACTTCGTCTGTAGCAGTAGCAGCCAGTTTTTGTTGTTTTATAACTTCTGTCCTGCAAAAAATATTAACAGTATAATATAAGAATTGACAAACATAAAGGCAAAATCATAAATTTCAAGTTCTATTAATAGATAAACAAATTGTAACGATACAGGAATATATTAATTGTATTGATCCTGTGTTTCAACAGTAGGCATATCATATCATCTATTCAGAAAAAGATAGCGGAAGTGGAATTTTCCCTTTACAATGAAACACTTAAAAAAAGAATATACAATAAATTGGTATTATTCATATAAAGTTAAACATTCATTATGTCATTTTACAAAACAATTTTCTACTTTCAATTGTTTATCTAACTGTCCTGTGATCCTCAGTTATATTGTGTCGCAGTAACCTTTCATACAAACTAATTTAGATTTGGAAGTGGGGAGGGGAACTAATCTGTTGCTGTCAGGTATCTCTCAAAATAATATCTAATTTTCTGAAATAGTTACCCGTGTGGCGCAGTGGTTAGAGTGTCTGCTCTAGAGTCCTGAAGTAAGGAGTCAATCCTTACGTCACGGGTTCGAATCCCACTGTGGGACGTGGAGACCAGTCCTTTGGATGAGACTGTATAAACTGAGGCCCCGTGTCGCAGTAGGTGCTGGCACGAAAAAGATCCCTCACTGCTCAAAGGCCCTGAGTGCCGAGCAAAGGACAAAATTTGTGGCCCTCCACCGGCAAGTGGTGGCGTCTCCATATAAGTGAAAAATTCTCTCATGGGACGTTTAACAACATACAATCAATCAATCAATTTTCTGAAATTATTTTAAATGGCAGCACTACAAAATATATATTTATCTCTGCTCTTTCATTTTTTGGATTCAAACATACCCATCTGTCTTTATACCCGCACTTTCTAAAGAAAGTTCGGGTATATTGTTGTTACTCATGTCCGTCCGTCCGTCCGTCCGTCCGTCCGTCCGTCTGTCACACTTTTCTTCCCTAAACTCCTCTTACATTTTACACAGTAGGCTAATCATCTTTTGGGAGATGGTTGGGGGTGTCATGTAGATGTGCAGTAAGGTTTCGAAATTTTGATTTTGCCCCGGGGGGTCAAATGGGGGTCGAAAAATGACGTTTTTTATGCAAAAAGCCCCGTCTTCCCTGAACTCCTCTTACATTTTACACAGTAGGCTACTCATCTTTTGGGAGATGGTTGGGGTTGTCATGTAGATGTGCAGTAAGGTTTCGGAATTTTGATTTTGCCCCGGGGGGTCAAATGGGGGTCGAAAAATGACGTTTTTATGCAAAAAGCCCCGTCTTCCCTGAACTCCTCTTACATTTTACACAGTAGGCTACTCATCTTTTGGGAGATGGTTGGGGGTGTCATGTAGATGTGCAGTAGGGTTTCAGAATTTTGATTTTGCCCCGGGGGGTCAAATGGGGGTCGAAAAATGACGTTTTTTATGCAAAAAGCCCCGTCTTCCCTGAACTCCTCTTACATTTTACACAGTAGGCTACTCATCTTTTGGGAGATGGTTGGGGGTGTCATGTAGATGTGCAGTAAGGTTTTGGAATTTTGATTTTGCCCTGGGGGATCAAATGGGGGTCGAAAAATGACCTTTTTTTATGCAAAAAGCCCTGTCTTCCCTGAACTCCTCTAACATTTTACACAGTAGGCTAATCATCTTTTGGGAGATGGTTGGGGGTGTCATGTAGATGTGCAGTAAGGTTTCAGAATTTTGATTTTGCCCCCGGGGGTCAAATGGGGGTCCAAAAATGACGTTTTTTGTGCAAAAAGTCCCGTCTTCCCTGAACTCCTTCTACATTTTATTCAACAGCCAAATCACCTTTTGGGGGATGGTTGGTGGTGTCATGTAGATGTGCAGTAAGGTTTCGGAATTTTAATTTTGCTCGGGGGGGTCAAATGGGGGTCGAAAAATGACGTTTTTTATGTAAAAAGCCCCATATACCCTGAACTCCTCTTACATTTTACTTAGCAGCCTAATCATCTTTTGTTGGATGATTAGTGGTGACATGTAGATGTGCAGTAAGGTTTCGGAATTTTGATTTTGCCCCGGGGGTCAAATGGGGGTCGAAAAATGACGTTTTTTGTGCAAAAAGTCCCGTCTTCCCTGAACTCCTTCTACATTTTATTCAACAGCCAAATCACCTTTTGGGGGATGGTTGGTGGTGTCATGTAGATGTGCAGTAAGGTTTCGGAAGTTTGATTTTGCCCCGGGGGGTCAAATGGGGGTCAAAAAATGACGTTTTTTATGCAAAAAGTCCTGTCTTCCCTGAACTCCTTCTACATTTTACTCAGCAGCCAAATCACCTTTTGGGGGATGATTGGTGGTGTCATGTAGATGTGCAGTAAGGTTTCGGAATTTTGATTTTGCCCCGGGGGATCAAATGGGGGTCGAAAAATAACGTTTTTCATATAAAGAGCCCTGTTTTCCCTGAACTCCTCTTACATTTTACTCAGCAGCCTAATCATCTTTTGGGAGATGGTTCAGGTGGGGTCATGTAGATGTGCAGTAAGGTTTTGGAATTTAGATTTTGCCCCGGGGGGTCAAATGTGGGTTGAAAAATGACGTTTTTTGTGCAAAAAGCCCTGTCTTCCTTGAAGTCTTCCTTAATGTTACTCAGAAGCCTAATCATCTTTTAGGAGAGTTAAATATTTTGAAAATTATGTAAAACATCAACGTCAAGGGGTAACAAGATGTGTTTGTGAAACACTATGCGCCCGGCGTCAACAAAGTTTGAAAAAGCTATTTTTAGCATATAGTTCACAGTCAAGGTCACAAGGTCATTGACCTTGGTGTTATTTGTAAGAACTTAATTAGTGGGGTATGCATACTAAATATGAAGTCCCTATCTCCTATGGTTCAAAAGTTATGGCAAAAAGTAGAAAAAGCTATTTTTAGTATAAAGGTCACAGTTAACTTCACATGGTCATTGACCTTGGTGTTGTTTGAAAGAACTTTATTAGTGGAGTATGCATACTAAATATGAAGTCCTTATCTCTTATGGCTCAAACATTATGGCAAAAAGTGGAAAAAGGTATTTTTAGCATATAGGTCACAGTCAAGGTCACAAGGTCATTGACCTTGATGTCATTTGAAGGAACTTAATTAGTGCAGTATGCATACCAGATATGAAGTCCCTATCTTCTATGGTTCAAAGGTTATGGCAAAAAGTGGAAAAAGCTATTTTAAGTATAAAGGTCACAGTCAAGGTCACATGGTCATTGACCTTGGTGTTGTTTGAAAGAAACTTTTTAGTGGAGTATGCATACAAAATATGAAGTCCCTATCTCCTATGGTTCAAAAGTTATAACAAACAGTTGAAAAACCTATTTTTAGCATAAAGGTCACAGTCAAGGTCACAAGGTCATTGACCCTGACGTCATTTGAAAGAACTTTATTAGAGGAGTATGCATACTAATTATGAAGTCTCTATTTCTTATGGTTCAAAAGTTATGACAAACAGTTGAAAAACCTATTTTTAGCATATAGGTCACAGTCAAGGTCACAAGGTCATTGACCTTGATGTCATTTGAAAGAACTTTATTAGAGGAGTATGCATACCAAATATGAAGTCTCTTATAATCTCTTACGGTTCAAAAGTTTTGGCCAAGGTTAAAGTTGACAACAGACAAACAGACAAACAGATAAACAGACAAACAGACAGGACAAAAACAATATGCGCCCCGAAAAAATTCGGGTGCATAAAAAAACAAAATCGCATGCTGGGAAACACCTTGAATTCTTATGAGTAATTTATGTACATGTCAAATGTGAGAGTCATATCTCATCTCAATCAAAAGTTATAAGCAAATGCAACATTTTTGAAAAGTAGGTTAGGCTTGATCGCTTCAAGGTCAAGGTCACAGTGTAAAAGTCATGATTCATTTGGAAAGGTCTTATCACAGGTAATAATATACATGCATTATGATATGAATGCCCTAACTTTTCTCTTTCAAAATGATGAATTTATAACAATTTAATTTTTTTGCAAGTTGGTCAAACTTCTAGGTCACATGTAAAAAAAAAAAAAACCATGCTATTCTCACAGGTAAATATACTAATACATAAGTTTAATATGAATGTCTCTTCTCATTCAGTAGATATGACCGTGATAACCAAGGTTAAATTTATTGAGACAGATGGACTGAGTCTGACATACAAATGTACATATTTCTATATGAATTGGGTAAAATTGGCCCAGTGGTTCTAGAGAAGTTAAAAATGTAAAAAGTTTTCAGACAAACAGATAGACAACACGTCACGACAGACATTATATGCTAAGGAAACAAAAAAAGCTAAAATGAGTGTTTTGAAAGGGTTACAATATGGTTGGAGTATTTGAAAAGCTGTTTTTTTCCTGCAGAGATATGCATGACCAACATATTCATGTTTTATATTTTCTTTAGTGATTTGTTTGTTTGTTGTGAATACATCTTCCCTCATATGGAGACACCACCAAATAATAATGAAGATAAGATGTGTTTGTGAAACACTGATGTCCCAGTATGGAAGCCTATGGCGAAGGTTGAAGTTTCTCAAATATATGTCAAAATCAAAGGTCAAGGTCAAAGGGTTCAAATTGTAAGTATCAGAAGGAAGTCTTGTCACAAGGAATGCATATGTGAAATAAAGAAATCCCTAGTAATTCCTGTTCAAAAGTTAATTGCCAAGGTTAATTTTTTTGTTTAAGTGGTTCAAACTCTAGGGTCAAGGTCAAACTTATTTATACCTGTTGACAGTTCACAATGAATACAATATGTCATGATATGAAAGCCCTAGCACCAATTTATCAAAATTTAGGCAGAGTTTAAAGTTTGGTATTTTTCTTGTAAAAATGTGTATCCAATGTCAAGCGATCAGAGGTAAAAATTAATGGTACCCAAATAAAAGGTCTTAATTGTCACAAGAAATAAACCTATAAAATGTGGAAGCTATTTGTATAGTCAATCCCACTTAAAACTTATGGGCAAGCTAGCTAGGATTTAATTTCTGCAGACTTATAGACAGACATACTTTAAACACAAGAAACAAAATATGTATA